TTATTTATTTCTATAACGTAATTACAATTCAATGGGTAACGTTAACCGAACTTCCGCCATGTTGTATTCGAACGCGACGACAGCGATTTTTTGTATAGAATTTATCTGAATAGCATTCTAACATTATATTTCCCTATTTTTGTCAACAAGATTACAATTCTATCATACTTTTAACTACTATATGACAGTATTACAATCTGAAAACATGATAAATTCCTAATTTTGCTATGCGATTGTGCGCGTCGCGTCGCGTCACGTCGCTCAAACAGATCAATAGATTTTAAGCGTAAACTTGTATTTCATTGCGTAATTACACATTCGCCAGATTAATTTCGTCATTGAAATAATACAGAAATTCTATAAACGGTTAATTATTTCCTAATAAAAAAAAAAAACAGCCTCGAGATGATCGTGTGCCAAATACATTATACTCAGATGATGGGTGCACGACCCGATATTCTAATGACGTCAAAATTGCTATCGCCGCCATCTTGTTTGCTTGGCGATAGATTACGAAATTCACTTTTCGTGCCTGTATCGTCCTAGAAGTTGAATAAATAAATACTACAATCAAACATTCTATCTTAACGAGATGTTTATCGAGATTTTTAATAATATATTTTCGTGCTATACTGTGACTACGAACGCTTTCATATCAGCGATCCGATTTATAGTTCAATATTCGGAATAAATCATTTTTAAAACGTAAATTTCGCTTTTTAATAAGCGGGTTACTCATTCGTTTATTAATAACAACTATTATTCCAGTTAAACTTATTTATTTTTAGCCATTCAATCTTTTATTTGATATGGCGATGCGACCAACCGCGACAACCAAAAATGGCAGAAAAAAAAACAGCGTTAAAGTTTAACGCTTTCAATGAAGTTATTTAAATAGTTTCTAAATTGTTTTTTTTTTTTTTTTGTATTATTTTCGTGTGAAAATAAGAATTGTTGTAATCGGATAGCACGCATAATAGCGCGTGGTTTTCTTTAATCGACCATAAAGTGTAACGGTATTATTTAACTCATAATATTTTGCTCAAGAAATCTTATTTATATAATTATTTTGATATCATACGATTTATTATTTATATTTTTAGATTATATAACGAATAAATTGCCACGATTTTAAAAAATTCTTCTTACAAAGTTGTCAAATTAAAGCCCGCGTTGTTATAATATTTTTTTTAAATTAATAATTTTATTCTTGTTCGAATTGAAATTAATTATTTTAAAAATATTTCTTGCGGTTTTTGTATACAAATTTTCCATTATTCCTTACATGCAAAAATATAATAAAAATATTCTTCCTCCTAATTAATAAAACATTCAGCTGGCAACGTTAACAAAAAAAAAGAATTTGACAATGACGTCAAACGATGTTTTGTAGTGACGTCAGAACGTGATTTATTTTTATGACTTTTACAAACGGCCGTTTCTACTTATTCTATTTCGAAATTATTTTTACCAAAATATAAATTATATTTTTGAAATAAATCTTCAGTGCATATAATAATAATAAAACATTTTTTTTTAATTTAACAGTTCTAAAAAGCATTCTATTAACGGAATAACCACAGTATTCAATGGCGCATCCATGCGATAATATGTATAAAATTAATTAATATATCATAAAATTTACGTTGTTTAGAGTATTCATATAACAATAACAATACTCTAAACCCTAATCACATTGATCTTATTTTTAACGAATCAAAAGGCGGAATTAGCCTGCTTTTCCGGATGATTCGGGTTCGAGTCCGGTTCCACTCTGTAATTTTTAGGGATGTGTTGTGGGTAACCTATTCCTTCACTTGTCTATTTTATTTGTGTACCTGGACGATCCCGTGAAGGGCACGGGAAAAGGCCTCTTTGGTGTTCGCCAGTTGAAGAGTTAAAAAAAAAAACTGGCTTTTCTAGTGAAAACTTTGATAATTGCTTACAGGCAAATAAGAATTCTCTATAATTCTAAGAAATTAAGCTTTTTAAAGATTGAATTCGCTACCACTATTAAAAACTTAATCTTTTCTCAAGGTTAAGGCTTTATCGTAGAATTTAAGCTGTTTTACTGCAATAATATCGGTGCCTTGCGTTTGCCATATTGTGTAATGTTCTGCATTTATTAACCCATCAATAAAATTGTGTTTCGGTTTAAATATAATCTTTTGAAAAGAATTTTAAAGTGAATTGATTTTATTTATTTTCATAATTCATAAATGGAATTGCAATTCGAAAAGTCATTGTCATGTTTCAACATACAGTGTAATAATGACTTTTCTTAGAATTTATCATTATTGAAAAATAAGAATTCAATTATTATCTTGTAATATAAAGTTATTTTATGCAGATTACAATCTGTTTAGCAATATCATTTAGGTACAAGCAACGTAGATTAAGATCTCGTGTTTTAAAGAGATAAGCACAAATATCAACTTGTGAAAGGTTGGCCAGATTCCTTCGTTTTAACTCTTAAATAGGGGCCAGTTTAACGATAAACAGTCATCCCGAGAGGCACTCTATTGGTAGATTGCCTTATTCAATCAAACCAAAATCCCCAAAAATTTTTCATGGGCGGTCTGACTGAAATACGCCTAGCTTCGTCCCTCACCGCCCCATCTCTCTGTTATGGACCTGATCAAACCTATAATTAACATTTATAAAAGTCCTCTTAGAACCAACAGGGCGGAGAACGAGAAAAAATTCAGTAATAGCTACGATTTTAGATTTTGTAAGATATTAAATTCTATAAACTTATATAAAATGGCATTGCGCGACTTAAAATCGCCACTGTAAGGAAGAGAACGTTGATGCAATGGCTTCCATTATAAAGTAAGCGAGCGATATAATCATCTTTAACCGTAATTTCAAATCTTTCGGAAACTTTAAACAAAGATAAAAGTTCAGAATAAATTTATATTGATTTTATAGTGCAAAATTCATATAAAACTATGGAAAAATCGCTGGGTCTTTATCTACGTTCGTTAACACAATATGTAAAATAATTTACGTACGGTTTTGTTCTTTAGTCTTAAATTAGTTCCTGGAAAATCATCGTAACCCGAACCGTCGTATATCGAATTCTAATTTCCTTTCATAAATTTTGAATTATACGATACCGCGTAGAAATGGCCAATAAAATGACGTGATATAATAATATACATTGCGCCATTAGGAGTATTCTTCTTTCGAGCAAACTTTTTGTCCCGTGTCCCTTCTGTGCACAATGACGTAAAATTCGGTGGAATCTTTAGTTTGTTTTTAACAATTGTATTATACTACTGAATTTAATAGAATTTAAATGACTATGAATGTAGCTATTAGTGATAGTATCCATAGGTGAGATATCATCTCCAACTTAATAAAATATTTTATACACAAAGACCTTAATAAATAAGATAAATATTCGAGTGCCAATTCTAGAAAAAAAGAAAATGGTTATCGTTGTCAATTTTAATCAGGAGAAAAAAATAAGATACTATAAAAAAATAGAATAGTAATCTATAATGTTACAATAGGTACTGTACGTGCAGGTGACAAGCTGCTAAATAAGTGAACTCGTTTCAATCGAAACGGTGTGTCATTGGCTTGTGTACTTATCTAGACGCACCCTAAATGATTAGGGTAATCGAAATCCCGAGAATATAGCGGGTCTTTTTATTTTTGTTAGTAAAAATAACATTAATTTACACGGGACAGCATGTGTTCTCCGGGCCAGGGGGAAAATTTCCGGTTCCTCCCCTCTCAGCGGCTGTATATATTATTATAAAAATTCTACAGGCAACGATCATCGCATCGTATTTTTCTGAATAATCAGATTCTAGAACAGTGTTTTCTCCTGATTATTCATTTATTTGAAATATGCTAAGATTACAAAATTTGATGAAATTGAATCTCTACAATAAATTTGTGCTGCAAGTGCCCCACTCTTGAATTATAAATTCACAGTAATCTTTACAGATGGGCGCTAGTTAACTATTCTAAATATAGCTTAAACACGTAGTTAACTAGTTGTTTCAGCTACCCTAACCAGTTTTCCTTCTATTTCACTGCATTGCCTTGGAGTAATTTATTAAGCAGAACGAACATGTCTCGAATTTATGAAAAGATCCATTCGATTTTTATCAGTCAACAAGTTTTAACTCGTTTTTGAGGCAATTGTAGTTTGAAAATTTTACATTGTCACTCGATAAATCAAATTCAAACTAGCCAATTAAGTTTCGACACGTACACGTGAAAAAAATAAAAAATACGTGCACTGTACTAACAGACTAACAAGTTTGTTTTGCACGGTGCGTTCGTAAAGTCACTCCGAAGTGGGCTGGGAAACGGAAGCAACTTCCAGGAACGGAGTAATGACGTCACAGGCAGACCGCGTGTCTAAGCAATTAGCGTTATGACGTCACCATTCGTTCAACCCATCACACTGTATGTAATGTAATGTTACTTTAAGCGCGTTACATGACTACCGGCGTATAAGGAATAATTTTTACAACACACTACGACTATGTTGCCAACTTTCTTCTACAAAAGAGAACAGCACGGACACCGTTAATGTCCTCTATTGTACATACTGTAAATTGTTTTAAAAAAATCTCTTCTATGTTAGATTATATTCTTATAAAGTATATAGAAATTAGGTAAAAGTTTGAAGTGTTCTTTAACTGATTTCTAATATATGACCTGGAACATATCCTAAAATTTCTAATGTTAAATCTATAGTATACTTTAATGTATAGCTTTGGCCTTGAAGTGTTTACAGATGATAACTGACTCTATTATCTATTTTATTAAAACATTAAGAATGTTATATTGTAATAAAATGGAATATTTCAAGTATATTTAGGAGGAATTTCTTAATGAAATTCTCATTGTCACTTGTTGATTATATATAAACTAAGTTAAATTAAGATTATAAGATATTTTTTTTTGTGTGGTTGAAATTTATAGATGCCGCATCCTCTATTGAATACAGAAAGATCTTTAATATGAAATCACAATAAGAAAAAAAAAAGATTCTTTTTAATAAGCACATAAAACATTTTACAATATACATAATACTGTACACAGAATATGAATCACCTAATTCAGATATTTTCTTTTTTATTTTTTTAAAAAAAATTTACAAAAGTTCCACTGATTATGACAATTTTTTTTTTTTCCTCTTTAAAACAGATTTGGTTGGCATAGATGGGAAAAATAATTCTTCCAAGATTTGACTGGAATTAAAATAATTTTTTTTTAAAGAATAATGAGATTGAATAATAGAAATTTTACTGTTATTTTTCATTATAAATCTTAATAATAACCATATATACATCACAACATCTATTGCTTTTAAACACCAATTTTATATATATATATAATTTTTTCTCATTGAGTTATGGCACGTATAGTAAAATGGAATTTTATTAAAATCTACCTTTTTTTAAAAATACTTCTTTTTTGATATTTTCATTTCTGCAGAAACTATGCCATATTTTCTTTTATAAACACAACTTATAAATGCCTTAACTTACTTTGCATATTGTATTTAAATAGAAGTTTAACATACATTTATTTAATTTCTTTTTTCTGGATTAAATCTATACCTTGTTAATTTTTATTTTTGTTATCAAACAGATCTTGTTTAAAATTACGTACATGAAGAGTTTTTACAAAATATCACATGGGAATATGTATTGGATGTGGCAGCGACCGCATCCGCGGGGGAATCTTTGTTTCGAATTTCCCGCTCCGGAAAAGGTAACGAAACTCGTGGTGAAATACTGCTTATTCATTTACATAGTTAAGGCAAACTTGTTCTTACACCTGGCTCTTTCAGAATAATAAAATAATTGAAATTCCGTTACTTCCTATAAAATTAAAACCCCGACACAATAGTGTTTAAATGTGGGAAGTTGCCGTCAGCCTGGCAACCTAAACCTTCATTTTATCCACAAAATGACATGAATATGTTTAATTGTAAAATATACATCAATAAAATTTTAATACAAATTCCCAATAACTTTTATTTATCGGATCATCTTGAAGTCTGAAGACGTTAAGAGGATCCAATTTTCTTTCTATGACCTTTTATTTAACTTATAGTACTTTGTACCACATAATATGAAAAAATAGTTCATGTTTAATATGCATGATTTTTTTGAAAATTACATACAATTTTTATTGTTGTTGAGCTTTAAAATTTCTTAAATTTATGTATTCTTCATCTATAAAATGTTTCAAACACCACAAACTTAATTTCTGCTGCAGATGTTATGTTCAATTTTTATGGAAAGATTAAATGAATATATTGTATGTGGTACACATTTTCATTTTAATTTAAAACTGAATTATGTGCTAATTACTAAATAACAAGGTATCTGTACAAATAATCTTAAATTTGGATACTTAAAAATATTTACAAATTAATAGAAGTAAAAGATTTAAGAGGAAGATGTATAAATTGTAATTAAATAAAAACATCACAGGAATATGGAACGATTTCTTTTTTTTTTTTTTTTTCGGACCGTAATTTGGTTTGTGTATTTTTTCTTTTTTTTTGACTACTTGTTAACGAGAATGATTAATTCTTACTTTTAAAATACTTTATGACATTGTATTACATTTGTTGGTTCAAAAATAATGTCGTGCCCGAAGGCTGCTGCACAGGCTGATCGTGATACTTTTGGGATTTTATCCAAGATGCGTCGTCTTGGACAGGAAAGAGCTCTGTGTCTGTGTCTTCATTCCAGTGAAGGGAAGAGATGGGCGAATTGCTAGAGACCGCAGTCGAGGAACATGCTGGATTGATCAGTATGTTATCTACTATAGCTACAGAATGATTGATAGAAAAAGGAGAATTGTTTGCGGCATTTCTGCCCTGAGCTGACGGAGACGAAGACGACGACGAAGTCGAATGATAAATTGGCACTCTGATGAGATCTCTCTCCCCTATTGCTCTGGACTGGCTTCGTGGTTCCAGAATATCTAAGTTATAGACACTCTCTCTGCTACCAGAAAACTTTAAAGAAACAAACAAAAATATAATTATTATAAATTTAGGATATTAAATTATACATTAAATTTTGTTATCTTCATTCTAATCTTTCTTAAATATCTGTTTAATTAGATCATTAAAATGCAATAAAGCAAAGTTAAAGACCACTTATCTCTATTAATACATTAAAGGTTAACGAACTGTTAATGTACTATACAATCTTCTAAACTATATTTAAAACAAACAGTTACAGTTAACTAAAATGAGCCTAATAAAACCGAAGTTCGTTTGGCTTTGTGAACGCTTAAAAATCTTAATAAAGTTTACTTTTACATAGTGTTCATTGTATACTTTGTAAAGTTATATTTTTTTGTTTAATACAAAAATACTGATCTGAAGTTTAAAGAAAATTAATTTATATTTCTATAGAAATAATGCATAAAAATTTACTTACCAGTAAGCCAAAATATTTTAAAATGTCCATTTTACACATCGGACAAGAACGTTGCTCCAGGAGCCATGGATCAATACACAATTTATGAAAAGTATGGCTGAAAAATAAGAGACACATACGTAAATTAAATTTTTCATTACTATATTACAATCAAAATATAACGACAATATTAAAATTATTTATTTTATTTGGAACCTCTGCCAGATTGATGACAACATTTTATTTAAACACAAGGAAATTTGCTCGGCTACCTTGATCCAGGCCGTACGAAAGACACTTCACCATTACAACAAATGTGACCCTTTTCTTAATTGCAAAATGACATCAAGGCCACAGGAAAAGTTATTGACTTATCAACAAACACTAGAAAGTGAGGAAATTTAAAACCAGATAATGTTTATATGTATGTAAATTAATAAGCTTCTTTATCATTCTTCTTTTTCAACAAATAATAAATCACAATTTTGTTGCAAAATGTAAGGAGATTCAGAATTTGTTTCTATTTATACTATTATAAAATAATTTTTGTTTCAAGGATAGAAATTCTGATAATGTTGAATCGCAAGCTTCTTCCTACAGTTTGATACATGCTTTTAAATAATAATAATGACCATGGCTGGATTAACCATTAGGCAAAATAAGCATCAAGGAAAGGGAACACCACAAATTTTTCATTGCCTTATTTACCATGGACCATATGATGCAAAATTGCAAATGGTACAGCTGAGCAGTACATGAAAAAATTAAAGTATTTGATGTCATATAAGACTCACTTTTTTATTTTTAAATGTATCAAAAATGTATTTTATGTTTTATTATTGTTTATATTTTGAATTACATACACACTTTATGAGCACATCAAAATCTTCTAAGTGTTTAGAGCCTATAAAAGTCTTAATCTGGCCCTGATGGTTACAATTTTATAAATGACAAAATTTATAAGTTAAATAATTTTAATTTAATCTTTACTCAAACTAATACTGATCAAGAAATATGCAAATAATTTAGTTAGAATTAAAATATCTCAACTGTTTATTGTGGATTAAATATAGATTCGATTGTTATAAATATTACTGTAGATAATGTTTTGATATTTAATGCAATAATATAGTTTTAAAAAATTCTATTTATAAACACAACAAAAGTAAACCCACACTTGATATGTTAATAAAGATTTACACATGTTGAATATTTAAAATAGTTTAATCAGAACAATTTTAACTTAAAAACTTATTGACATAATTCATATATATATATAATGCTTACTATTAGAGGGAACTAATTATTAGAATAACCATGCTGTCTATTAGAAGAAGGTAAAGCATATTGTAAACTGAAAAACTGTATATTCTATTCAGCATTATCACTGCTACTGAATTTTCAGTATATCTATCAAATTGTATTTGGAACAAGACTAGAGTAAACCTAATCCCCACACTTGTAAATGATGATAATGATAGAAGTTAACAGATTTATTTCATTAAACATTGCCCTTAAATAATAGTCAAACCTAATTCCCAATAATTAGAAGTAATAGCTGCATCAAATACTAGTTGCAGGAATTACGAACATATATGCACTTGCTAGAATGTTTATTTAAAGAGAAACAAGATTATAGTGTACAGTACCATGCCAAATTATAAGACCCAGTGACTAAAATCATACTTTTTGTACTATTTTCTTCTCTTTTTCTCATAATATTGTTTATGAAATGAGTATTTTTTTCATATTATTCTTATTCTATATTTTATCTGAAACAATTTTAATAAGTTTTTTATGTAAGTTTTTCATTTTTTTCAACAATTGCATTTTTATTGAATTATTACATCAAAAACTAACAAATACTAACATGCAAATCTTCAATTTTTTGCATGGGTGTAATAATTAATTGGTGAAGTATAGTAAATTTTTAGAATATGTGTTATGCTAAATGTACTTTTAATGCTGTAAAATAGTTGCAGAAAAACTTGGGCTATTTTAATAATAATTGCAACTATCATTCAAACAAATCTAGTATAAACAGTAGAGCTACATGGTGAAAACAATTATAGACAGCACAGTGTTTATTAAAATAAATATAGTATGTTTACAGTCTGTTTCATTTACAAATAATATAATTTCTGGCAAAAATACTAATTACATACATTAATTTTATTCACATCTTTTTCTAGAAGATAAAATAATTTATCTTAAGCTTAGTTTTGTCGCTAATTTGTAACTAAAACAAAAATTAGAAAGACTTACGTGCAAGGAAGAGTTCTGACGACTTCTCCCACTTTAAATGATTCTATACAGACAGCGCAGCAGTTTTCAAATTCTCCAGAATCCTAATGTTAATTTTTATTTCATTTAATAATTGTTTTTATTCTAATTATGCTTATCATTTTACTTTTTCTGATTTTTAATTTGATAGCAGCTTAAAATGTATTTTATTAGAAGTGAGGGGAAAAAAAGTGATAACCTTAAGAATATTTTTAGAAAGTTATTTCTAGCAAAAATCTTAAGATTAGTAGAAAAACACATTGAGTAATACACTGATATCACATTTAACAAATAAATTTACCTTATCATCTTGTCTTAATGTTTTTGTTGGAATTTTATCCAATGCTCTTCTAGCTGCATTGCATAATCTTCTCTAAAAAATTTATAAAAACCCACATTAGAGAGAAATTAAATTTTTCTTATTTAAAATAATTCTAAATACAAATAAATACTTTCTGATTAAATGCGAAAATTTTTTTTTTAATTAAAATTATTTCACCGATGCAGAATTTTATTAGAATTTAAGAAAAATTTAATATGTAAATAAAGAGGTTCCATTTAATTTTAATGAAATGAGAGTTATTTTAATCATTTAGAAAGTAATTTTATTAAATTTTTTACTTTTATCTCTCCGACTTCAAAATAACAAGACGTTTGTTTTTATTCGCGATGTCGGCGTAACGCATGTTTCAGTTTTTAATTTGTTTCACATGATTTGACTGACCTACTCCTATTTAACACATTGCATTTAGATATATTGTTAAGATTTTATATAAATCTATTGTTTTTGCTCTATTGATTTTTTTGATTGTTTGAAATTACATTTTTAAATAAATAAGTAAATGTATTTTTTAATTATTATTATTATTACATTGTTATATTGTATGTAGTGAATTATATCTACATTTTTTAATGAATTGTTTTCGTAATATTTTAAAATTTACTTACAGCTAATAAATCTTTGGTATGGATATATCGAAATCGCTGAATGTAGTAAAATATCAGCCATGCGAGTGAAATGAGCATTAAAATGATAAAAGAGACTGAAACGAAGAGAACAGATGTTCGGTTGATGTTGGCGTATCGAAAGGTGTTATGAGTTCCGACTGATATGTACATCATCACTCGAGTCCCATTGTCTACTAAGTTAGCTATTTTCTCTCCTTTTTCTTTAGTTGTGAATATAGACACCAAATTAAATACTAGAATAAAAAATAATAAATCAAAATAATTATTTATTTATATAATCAATATGTTTGTTAATAAATTAAACTTTAGTAAATATTGGGATCTAGAATTTCCATAAAAAAGCATACAAGTTTAAAATTCAGTAGTACAATATTAAGACAAAATATAAAGAATAGCAAATCATTTAAAAAATAATAGTAAAATTAAACTAAAATGGCAACTATTGGAGTAAACAAGGTAAAGTGACGACAAATGGCAAGGTCAAGAAATAAATTACATACCAAACCTTGAATATTTATAACCAAAAAGTGAAATCCTAACCAAAGTGTAATCTGAAGATATCTGATTTTTAATTATTTGGTAATAAATAAGTTATATTACATTCAATATTAATTATAAGAAAAAATCTAAATTATCTTAAATCTTGAAAGGTGAACAATTTTCAACTCTAAAATATAAAAAAGTATTCAAAAGCAAATAAAAAAATATTTTAACTAATTGAAGAGATTGTATTTTAGAAATTTCAAAGACATTTGTGTACCTCATCCTCAGATATTCAAATAAAATTATGAAAATCGTTTGATTTTGTTTGAATTTTGTGATTTCATTAATTAAAATTAAACATTTTCAATCTAAATAAAGTATTTGCTTTTATTTGGTTTTTCACATTTCCAAATAATCATAATCTGTAGATATTAAACTTATTTTTCATTTTGGTTTAATTGTTGTCATATATAAGAGTTAAATTCTATCAATTTATGTGGATTTTCAATTAAAGCAACATCTAGTCACAGCTTATAATAAGCACAGCAGAATTGCATCACCCCACACTAAAACCATAAAATAATATCCTAATGTTTAATATGTAGTAATTAAAGAAATTATTCTACATGATTAAGATTAATTTTTTTTAATCAAAACAAGAATCTAAATGGTGTATGATGTAAAAACGACTCTGCTAGACTGGTTGTGTGCCATAAATCTTGTAACAGTACTGTTAAAAAGTGCAGTGCCATCTCCCACTCTGAGAACAGTCTTGCTGCAGCTTCTCATGATACAATGAAATGCTTGAGATGACAATACACTGTTTAGCAGTACTGCTGAGAACAGTATAGCCACATGGCAAGAATTGGTTACTGGGTCAGAGCAGAGGTGCAGAGTACACTGTGACCTGTAAATGTTAATATGAAAAAAAAAACAATTTTTAAATCTTGAATTAATTTATTTTATCCTTATTACACAATGAAGCGCACTCGATAGACACCAGGCTTTACTTTACATCAGTCTTTATTGTGCGAAAAACGTATCGGCAAGATGTAACGTAAAGCCTGGTGTCTATTGAGTGCGCTTAATTGTGTAATAAGAATAAATATAGATAAAAAGACACAATTATCTTCCAATTTAAAACCATATTTTAATTTAATCAAAAAATATATTATTTGAAGACAATGTATATACTTTGTTACATAAATTAGTAGTTGTAATACAGTACTCCCCATATTATACAGCCATGAGTTACCACTGGCAACATCATAAATCATCTTTCCACTTTCAAACATTAACAGTTATTTAAACAGTTGTAATTAATATTTAATAGTTAATTATGTAAATGCATTTATAACATACGATATCTTATAAATTTGAATACAATTTTCTGAATGAGGGCACAATTAGTTTATTATATTTCAAAATTCATATTACAAGTAATACTACTACTGTTTATTACTACACAAATGTAAGTTCTAGTTTTACAAATTAGGTCAGTGTAACCAACTTGTCATAAGAAACTTAAATATGAAGCAAGTTATAGAAAAAAAAATAAAACCAAATCATTAGTATTGAAAAAATATTTCTTATTTCAGGAATTCTGAATATCTTGATCCTATCGTGAAACATCAAGTAATGGTGATCAGATTCTTAAAAGTACCATGAAAATTTCAAGTTGTCATCTCAAATCATTTAGGTATAGATTGCTGGTTTCCAAACTTTACCTGCTGCTGCTTCCCTAAATTCATTCCCAGTGCTCTCTACCCTATCCTAAACAATTTTCTTTTGGAGTATAAGTTTTTAGAACTCGCCATTAAGGAAAGTACAGTAATCATACTCAAAGTAATAACAATTAATTAGATATTAACTATATCTAAATAAAACTGATAAATTTAATGATTCCAGTAATTCCTGCTTGTAAAAGCTCAATAATTTAGCAAGATTTTTAACAAATTTAATAATTCATTAATAGTAAAGCAGATATTAATGTGAGGGATAGACTTGTTACATTTCTCAATGCCTAGTCTAAACCAATTTTTAGTCATTAGATAAACCAAATGTCTAAAAACCCGACGTACCGTACAGTACATACATAATATGCCAACAACTACCGGATTATATTGGGCTATTATATCGCGATTATTTTAAATTAATTACTAAATAATTTGTCACTAGAGGGAGGCATATTATTAAGTCATTAGATTATTGGACATAGTGAGATAAAACTTGTTAATGTATAGAGTATTTTTTTGCATGAAGAAATGTTAGATGATTGCACTAAAAATATGACATAGAAATCACAAGAAGGAACTTCTCAGTATCTAGATTAATGTTAAAATTCACTAGTCAATCAATGTTCCATCAATGGAAGAGCAATACAATCTTGATTAGCTAATTGTATTGTCAATAATTGATAAATAAGTAAAAAAACAAATTGGGAGTGGCCACCTCCAGTGCCCTTCTACCACCCACTTACTTCGACATTATATAATCCCACCATCTACCAGTAAGCAGTATCATCCATTTTGAAAATACTGATATAGATGATAAACGAATATAGTATCCTTATGTATCAAATATAAATAAAGAAAATTTATATATTGAGAATACACAACTTTAGGTTAAAAAGAAAATATAAAAAAACTTATCACTAAAAAATTGATTTTAATATAATATTCCAGCACCAAGAACCTTGATTCTTGCTTATAGAATTTCATTAAAAGCTATCAATGTCACATTAACAGATGTTGAAATTGTTAATATAGTTAAAATTTTTTTTTAAATGTCTATGAATAATTTATCACTAATCAAAAATTAATGAATCAGTTAAAAAGCTGCTGTTATCTGAAGTTTTTTTTTTTAAATAGTTGTTTAATTGTTTAAATACACAATAACTAACAAAACTGTGTTTAAAAATAATTCACGAGTGCAACATTTATTGCATTTGACTCCTGTTACATATAATGAAAATGATCTTAAGCATGCCTAAAATGTAACAAAGAAACTTAAAATATGAATTATCATTTGCATGGAAAAAAATGTGCGCGCACATACAGACGCACAAGCGAGTCTCTTGTCAATGTTTAACATTCTTTTTAACTTAATTATGTAGAAATTCGATCATACAGTAAATCTATATTAATAACTGCATAAAAATTAAACAAGTTTAAAAAAAACCATCTGAAGAAATCCTATAATTTTGATTCACTCCCACTCTACAGAAAACGGTGTCAAAAATATAAAATAGGAGTGGTATAACAAATTCTGTATCAATAAAATATTCAAAATTATTTACGTATTTACAGAATATGATAAAATTTTATTATGTAAATATATTTTATAAACAAGCAAAGTATATTTAGGATTCAATAGCTTATAAATTTTTTTTATTAATATATTAATAATGCATATTTATTTATTTATTATATTACCAATAGGAAATTTTCAAGGACATGATTTCCATTCTCCAAACCAACATAATAACCCAAACACGAACAATAATAAATAAAAATTTAAAAACAGGATTTCAGAATTATAAAGTATAACTCATACAAAACTTTTTACTGTATATTGCAAATGATCAAGGCAAAGAATATGTTCTATATTTATCAAACTGACATAAATAATAAAAAAAACATGAGATATGTTAATACATATATAAATATATTAACATTTTAAATATTGCTGAAATATACTTACATGATTAATTTGATATTTTTTAAATAATATTAAAATATTGATATCTTATATATTTTGAGTAGTTTTGTATCGTACTTTTATGAATGAGTGAAAGTAAGAGAAAAACCACTCCCTTATACAAGTTTATTAGTATCCAATTGCAAAATTTAATACTAATTTAAAATTAAATAAATCAACTTGAAAGAATTAAAAAGGCTACTCCCTGCATTTATAGAACAATGAAATAATGCAATTCAATCATATTTCCACAATTCTTGTCAAACAGCACAATGCTAGGTGGGGATTACGTTACTATCATCTTGAATATGGCACAAATAAGTCAGCGTCACCTTATACTTCAAGTTCGAAGAATCAAGATAGTTGTCAAATTTGGTTCTCTCTCAGCTTGTTTTAATATTAAAATAATGTACTGCAGTCTGAAAATTATATTACTATTTATATATATGCCATGGATTTTTCCCTCCGGGACTATCTCAAGGATAGGTCTTATTGGAACTCTATTGCCAACCTCGAACAAATCGAATTTGTTATCAAATCCAAGATTCAAGCCATTCCTGATGAAGTTCTGGTCACTGGTTTCAAGCATCAATTACGTCCTGTATCACCCATGAAGGAGAGCACTCTGAAAACCTCATCTACTAATTATATTTGGTCTCAGTAGTATTCTCACCAAGTTTCATGTTGATGCAACAAATCCCCAATTTTTTATCCTCAAAGTTGTTAGTGACTAATTTTACACCATGTATATATAGCTACAAAGGTTATCTTATGCAAAGGTTTATCACACCAAATGACCAATCTAACACAACTTTATATTTCTTTATTCCTTTACTGTATACAATTTAAAAAATTTTTTAAATGTGTTAGATTGGTCACTTGGGGCAATAAACCCTTGTGTAAGATATCCTTTGTTGTTATATAAATCAAATACTGCAATATAATATAATAGAAGGATTAGAAGTATGAAATAATCTAATAATCTTAATGTTTGTCATCATTTTTTGCCCAGGCAATGCTGGACTTATCTGCTAGTTAATTAATAAATTCT